GTGAGTGCCGTATATGGGCCTATCAGTTTCAGGCCCCCATATCTAAAAACGATGTGATTGGCAATATAGTTAATAGAGGTCGATTGGACCAATGGTTTCGGAGTTATAACAAATTGTTTAAAACTTTATGCGAAACGATGCCACTGTTTAGAAGGCGTGTATTTATATATGTATGTACTACAGTGGTATTATTGTTAAACATTCGTTTTACGTCAAGTCAAGTCACGTTTTATGTGGTATTAAAGTACGTGTAATATATTTTATCTCCGACGTATTGGCTTGTCAGTATTTCAAAGGAACGAATGCAATTAACTGATGCGAATCCTGGAAAATGCGAATGATATTACTTTAATACGGAACGCCGGGAGTTATAGCCCGGAAAATTTTACCACCACTAATGTTAAATTAATGCCCATGCACATTTATCCATGATGGGTTTACATCATAGAACAATAACATCATATAATATAACGATATTTTATCCATTATATCCAGAATGAGGAACGAACAAATCTATTTGAACTTTTTTGCCAACTTGAAAGAAACTTTGTTGCTGGTCGCTCTTTTCTGCCATTGCAACAAAAACCTTATCGTGAGCTCTAGCTGGACCTCTGACTACGAATTTTGTGAAACAAGATGGTTTGAATTTCTAAATGAGAAACAGAAATGGAACAAAAGTTGTGGGAACGATACTGCTATCAATATGTCGGCGTGTTGTCTCGCTAAGAAAGAATATCTCTTGTACCGTTTTAAACAATACAGTGAAATCTGTCTACTTGAAGGTAAGCCCTATCCAAACTTAATAGCCTGCGTAGCAGGCAGTATTCGCGGACACGAGTGAACGGGATGCTAGAAATCACCGCCTGCCCAAAAACTACACATTCTGAGTTCCGCCCACCGAACGCATGGTTCCGCCCACCGAACGCATGGTTCCGCCCACTTAATGTATTTATTTGTCCAAACTCGCGTATTTCACCAATGTAAATGTACGGCTTTGACGTTTCATATCTTCGGTTCATTCAATGCTATGAAGACAAAAATACCACGTTCGATTCAGTGTAACAATATGTCCTCATTTATAGCTATAGTTTTAGTCGATGTCAACATTATAGCGATTTATGAGCTTTGAAAGTCATTGCGAGTTCGCGTATATTATCAGATTACGCAATTGTCTGCACAAAAATATAGACTAGCCATACATTTCGCCGAACATAACCTCGGTCCCTTCGGTCATAACTTCTTTGTAATAGTCTTGTTCCAATCGCTATCAAAAACACTACTTAGAATGTCATTTACGAGCCTGTATCTTCAAATCTGCACTTTTATCACGGTATCACATCTCTATCAAGCAACAAATGTTGGGATTCAGAGGAGGAGTGGTCACTATACCGTGATGCATTGCGATTATTCCAATTAATTATATATTATTGATTTTTCACAAGCGGGCGGTTATTGTTCGCTTGACCTTCACTATCAAAACAACAGGAGTGAGAAATATGGCGGATTTTGTAAAGCCGATTCACCGCCATAAAGCTTCAGTTTTGGAAGGACACGGTCTTCTTTTTGTTCATTGTGTATCGTCAGAGCCTATGCTGTTGGTTCCTATGGGTTATCGTGTGTTCAGTTTCAATGCCGTGAGATTCACATCAGAAGAATCGCTATATTTGTCTCTAAAAGTTGATGAAATCTTTGCCGATTGCAATAACCCAGCATTGATAGAGTATAGAGATACATTCCAGTTGTGTTTTTAGGGTAAGTCGTTTGTTTTAATCCTTAAAGCCAATACAAAGGCAATGTATCTACGCAATGCTTCTTGCTTTTTCTATGACTATGATTCACATTTTTATAACCAATATTGGTAACAATATTTGTGCTTTCTATTTTGAAGACAGATAGATAGATATTTATTAATATATGAATATGAATATATGCATATAGAGCTAAAAAATAACGCCAGATTATTTTACTCTTTCTAATGGCAGCTGGCCTATCTGCCCATGTGCCTAGTTAACCCATTGAGTCACATTGTGCCCTCATGTGCCCTACTTTAATATTTTACTCTGTCTAACACTGGCACTTAAAGGGTTAAACAGAAGATTGTTTTTATATATTGCAGTTCTCTGACCTCAGTGATCTAAGACGAGATGGAACAGGACAATCTTTTATCTTTGGGAATGTTATTTTGTGGGATTTCGATATTCTGCCATTGCCACCTTCTCAAACAATTCAACCTCGAGGTCCAGATACGTACTGTTAATGAAGATTTGGACACTGTGCTGTCACTAATAAATTTACAAGGGCAAACTGGATATAACTGTGATCTACAACCAATAAATTCTGTGTGCTTGGTGGGTACTATTACTCTACAGTGCAGCATTGATTTTTGCGAAAAGTGGACCATGGGACAGAGATGATCCAAGAAACAATTATAACAGTGACATAGTTTACTAGAATATTGTAAATTGATGTTTGTGATGTTATTCTAAGTTTGCATCCACACCGGGCAAGCTGAAAAGTTTGCCTTACCATGGTGGGAATTGAACCTGCCATCTTTGGGATATTAGTCCAATGCTCTACCAACTGAGCTCAGCTCGGTGTGGATGCATACTCAGAGTAACATCACAAACATGAATACCTGAGTAAATAACACCAACACACACAAGAAGTATATTGTAAATTGTTGTTATTTTATTATGGATTCCTACATACAGTATTTATTTTATTATGGATCCCTACAATTGGGTCATTCCAGAAAACATCCATACCGCCCCCACGGAGGAAATAGGAAGTTAACCCCCCTACCCCCTTCGGATGTCCTAATACATTTACTATTATCAGAAACAATTTTTTCTCCCCTCCCCCCCGGATGGCAGAAATTTCCTCTTTGGGGGGAGTATGGATCTTTTCTGGAACGACCCATTATAACAGTGACATAGATTACTAGGCTAATGCGGTAAATTGTTATTTTATTTTATTATGGACAAAATTTCTCCAGACCCATGGATCTTTTTTGGCAATAGATATCAACTTGATCAAAGCTTTATTTTCCTCAAAGGTCCATTTATGTTTTTTTCACTGGTGACTTCTCTGACAGAGTCAGCCTGATCTTTCTGCTAGGAAACTACAAAAAAGTATGTCATTTACTAAAATGGAAATTGGGGCGCAGATGACATATGAATAATCATACATGAATAATGTTACACTGCAGAATAATGTTACACAGAGGTATTAAGGTGGAGTAATACAGACAACAAAATTGCTGCAATTTGCAACAAAATCTGATTTCAACGGATGTTAGTGGGAATGTTGACACATAACTTAATACAAGTCATAGAAATGTTGCCTCGTACATGCGTTGAAATCAGATTTTGTTGCAAGTTGCAGCAATTTTGTTGCTCGTATTTACTCCAGCTTAACACTGAATATACAAAGACAATTTATAAGAATAAAATAGCAAAGAATAACAGTACATTTATAAGTACAATTTCGTCTACCATATTTTTTTTTATTATACCTTTGCTGATGTGCCAGGACTTCGAAACAAAGCTCGACTGAATGGAGTGAATGATGAACTTTCCACACGAGATATTTTCCTGGCGTATCAGTAATTTGAGTTTCCTCATTTTCTAAATCATGATCAACAATGACAACATCGCCATATTAATTAATAGATTCCAATTTTTGCTCCAATAAACTCGAATTCTATAAAAACAAATGATACAATCAGGAACAATACGTTTATAGAAAAGCTGGCTTGTTTACGTTGCATTCGCGCCATATTTCCTGTAGAATTCCTCTTTTCCCGCGATTGGTGACAACAAAAGCAAAAATACCCCATTTTCAAACAACGATTACTCGTCGGTTTCAGGGGGTTATTTATGTTTTAAGGTACCAATAGAAAGAGTAACCCTTACTGAATACAATGATGTGAATTTTATTGAATTTCCCGATTTATAAACCTAATAACCCCCTGCGTATATCAAGGCCGTTTTCGTGTCATGGCACTATACCCGGAATATACACCATTTTCAAACCGCGATAACTCGTCGGTTGGAGGAGATTATTAATGTTTTAAAGCATCAGCTAGAACCGTGACCCTCCCCGAATTCAATGATGTGAATTTTGCTGAATTTCCCGATTTATAAACTATTTAACCCCCGGCGTGTATCAATGCCATTTCTTTTATAGCCCCGAAATATACCCCATTTTCAAACCGCGATAACTCGTCAGTTCGAGGGGGTTATTTGTGTTTTGAAGTATCAATAGAAAGAATAACCCTTTCTGAATTCGATGCTGTAAATTTTGTTGAATTTCCTGATTTAAAAAGTATTTAACCCCCGGCGAGTATTGGAGACACTTTTGTAACATGTGCACTGACCCGAAACCAAGGGTAATTCAATGCGTGATTAACATCACTGAAGCATGATACGACAACCACATAAAACAAAAATCGTGCAATTAAGGTCACAAATAAAACAATTATAAAAACGTACCTTCCAAAAATCAAAATTTTCCGAGTGAAAATTCGCGATAGAAAACCACAATTTTTCGACAAACATCTCTCAAAGACTCGCAAAGTTCAATTCCGAATATTAATGAGAAGCAATGCATTGTGGTATAGTGACCACTCCTCCTCTGAACACACAGATCTAGCACATGTCAATGTACAATTATTAGTAATCGCACACATGCTCGAACTTGATTGGTTAGAATAATTCGCTTAGGGGTAAAATTACATTCGCGCTTTGGACACATATATTATTACTAAAATCACTAAACTGGCCACATCCCGCTAAGATTTTCAAACGGGGAAAGACGTTTGATAAACGGGAAAAGACGTTTGATAATTCCAAATTCAATTTTCGTTCAATCATGTGATCAAATTGTTTCATCATTTTGGTCACATGACTTCACGATTTTGTTATCAATTTATTTTTGTACATGGGTTTCTAATTTTATTATCCAATCAGGTGCGTAGTTTTGAATTAAACGTCAGAAATTCGTCACTCAACATTCAAGTTATTCAAACGTAAACAAGGTCACAAACATCCAAACGAAGGTCAATGCAACAGAATATATGAAATATTCGTTTTATGTTCATTTTAAAGTTCCATAATCGTAATGAACAATCTATCTAGTATCTTTATAATATGATCTCCCTTTTAGCGAAAATATGATCTCCATCTTGTAATATACTGAGTTGTTTCGAAGTTGACTGGGAATAATTATTATAAATAGCACTGTCAAATAGTGAAGTCATGTGACCAAAATGATGAAACAATTTGATCACATGATTGAACGAAAATTGA